AAAGGCCCAATTCGAAGACATTCTACAGTTCCCCAAGTTGGCCGCACAAGCACTCCCCCCCGTTCCTCGCCCTTGAACGGCACCGTTGGACTTGTGTTGTTCCCCTCGTACTTGCGGACCACATCCCAGAAATAATGTCGAGCACCCCAGAATGTTTCGTAGCAGTGTCTGCCAGACACGCCGCCGAGGTGCCGAGCGAGCACCGCCTCCCGAGGCCCGACGCGGGAACACCCGTCGGTTCCGATGCTTCCGCAGGGCTCGTGATTCTTTCTGGTGATCGAGGCTCAAGTACACCTTAGGCGATGCTTAAGAAAACCTACGTCTTCGGCCAGAGTCTCGATTATTCTTAATGTTTCAATGTAAATCCTATGATTTGAATGGAAATTTTGAGTTTTTGTTCAAGTTCTGAGACTATGAATTTCTTAACCCATGATTTCTTAAGCATTTCGCAGGGTGTAGGCTGCCACAGCATGTGGGAGACCAGCTCGGGTGGGCAGATCGAGCTCGAATCGGCGATGCGGCCACCCGCTCCGCCGCCATCCCCACCCGGGGAGCCACACCCTGCCGCCGCTCGCCCCCTCGCTCCGCCACCGGCACTTTCCTGCCCCGCTCCTCTGAAGGGGCCCCAGGACACACAAATAAATACACACAAATAAAAAGATTCCCCATATTTTCCTATATTTTCTGGTTTTCTGTCTTCCCCCCCACGTCCCATATTTTCCCATATTTTCTGGGGAATCGAAGATTAATTGTGTCTGTGTGTTTTTTCCTCTCCTGAACTTTCCCGCCCCGCGCCTCGCCCTCCGCAGCCAAGGAGACGGCTCGGGAGAATGCCTTCAGCAGCGCTCCACGCAGGGCCGAACCGAGGGGTGACAGGCTACAGTCGGACCTAGGCCAGAAGAGCACCCCTCGAGAAACGGAGACCCTTCCGTCCGGCCAAAACGCGCAGAACATCCGAGGGTGCCCTCCCCAGGATGCACACAAGCATCCAACGAACAAGGAGAACATCAAGGCACCCTCCTCGAACCGACCTCGACCGGATACCTCGGTCCGACTGTATCACGTGCCTGCTGACCCGCAGGAAGCAGCGTTTTTCGCCGCCTCTTCCTCTGCCTGAATCCTCCGAACGAGCGCGGCCATGCGTCATCCTGAGAGAGCGAGCTAAAGACAGGCTCACCAGACGCCACCTCGAGGGGAGGCAGCTGGTCCCTATGGGAAAGAGTCGAGCCTTCCTGGGACCCCGCATCGACAAGAAGGGGACGTCGGATCTCTGGGAAGGTATCGCTGCACCGACCTTGCAAACGTGCTGCAGTGGATTGCTGCCACTGCAAAACCGCGAATCGGCGAGTGAAAAACGGCATGAATTCCGCGTGGATGTGTTTTAGTCTTCATTCCTGGCCAAAACATCCAGGAACAATCCGCACGAAATTCACATCTAAATCCGCAACGAATTCTCCAGGACACTCTGGGCCCATCCCATCGTTTTCCGAACGTAATTCGCTCTGCAATGTTGACGCCATGAAAGGCAGCGACACCGCTACCAGTCCCTCATGTTGCTCTTTGTTGGCCTCCGGGGAGGCCCTCGTCGCCATGGGTGCCTCGGCATTTTCGAAGGAAAAGGAAAAAGGAAGGGAGGAAGCGGGCGCGATCCTCGTGTGGGGCGTGCCGACATGGGCGTCGCGGCGCGCGGGCGCTGCCGTCAGGGTTCCCAGGGAAGCCCCCTGCAGAGGCTACGCCACACAATTCGGCACACCTTCATACGGTTCGTGGCCCCATAGGGAGCGCCACCGAAGAAGATATTCACAATTGCGGTACTCACAACTGCATATGTTTGGGTCCTTCGCCAGGATATTTGCACTATTTTCGAATATCCCCCCGTAGAGGGACATGCCCGACTTCACCCCAGATTACAAGTGCGTGGTCTGTCAGCCTCCTGGGAGCTCCCGAAGGCCAGAGAGCCGCCAGGACGCCGCGAGACACGCGCGATGCGCAGGGCTTGCCCTGCCAGCCCATGGGAGGCTCAGCGCACAGCGCCTCGCAAACCATGGTAGGGGTGTTCTTTACGCCCTTGACAGAAGGGCGGGAGAGGCAGGATGGAGGACCCAGGGCGGAGCACTGAAGGAGGGGCGATGATAATCCTCGAGGGGATGGGAGGATGGAGGGATGGAAGACTGGAAGCATTTGGCATGAAACCGAGGGGCCTTTCCTCAGGACCAGCTCTTCATCATGAAACGTTTCTTGACGGTGCCAGGGCCCACGGAGGGCCCTCGGGAGCCCACAGACGGCGAAGAATCTCCTCGGGACCCGCGTCCCTCAGAACAACTTGCCCTTCGAGGCGAGCCCCGTGAACTTGCCCCCCCCCATCCCCCGCCCCTGCTGCATCTGCTGCGCGTAGGCGCCGGGCTCCACAGCGCCGCCGGCGCCTGCGACGCCAGAACCCGGCCGCTGCTCCTCCTCCTGCTCCGCCTGCGCCTCCTCCTCCTCCTCCTCCTCCTCCTCCTCAACGTCCTCCACATCCTCCTCGTCGTCCCCCCCCTCCGCTTCCTCCATCTCCTCCTCCTCATCCCTCTCCTCCTCCTCCTCCTCCTCCTCCTTCTCCTCCACCTCCTCCTCCTCCTCCTCCCGCTCCTGGTCCTCCTCCTCCTCCTCCTCCTACTCCTCCTCCCTTTACTCGTCCTCCTCCTCCTCCTTTCCTCCTCCAACTCCTTCTCCTCCTCCTCCTCCCAGGGATATACCTCTCCCCTGGCTTCTCCTCGCGTGGAAGGCTTTTTCGTGAACTGACGTTCCGCTCTTTTCCGTCCTGCACTTCCTGCTCCTACACATCATCACCATCATCCCCATCCTCATCATCATCAGCAGCAGCAAAAGCAGCATCAGCATCAGCATCGACATCAGCATCAGCATCAGCATCAATATCATAATCAGCAACAGCATCAGCATCAGCATCAGCATCCTCATCAGCATCATCATCATCATCATCATCATCATCATCATCATCATCATCATCATCATCATCATCACCATCACCATCATCCGCATCATCATCAACCTCAGCATCAGCATTATCGTCATCATCATCATCATCGTCATCAGCAGCATCATCATCAACATCAGCATCATCATGTTCATCAGCATCATCAGCATCATCATCACCATCATCACCACCATCAGCATCATCATCATCAACACCGTCATCAGCATCATCATCAGCATCATCAGCAGCATCATCATCCTCCTCATCATCATCAGCATCATCGCCAGCATCATATTCAGAATCATCATCATACTCCTCCCCAACATCCTCAACATCGTCATCGTCATCATCAACAGCAGCATTATCATCGTCGGCGTCATCCTGAGCATCATCATCATCATCCACAACACCATCATCAGCATCATCATCAGTATCAGCATGATCAACAACATTATCATACTAGTAGACACACGCATTGTCATCATCAGCATCACCAGCAGCATCATATTCATCCACACCCACATCCACATCCACATCCACATCCGCATCATCATCATCATCATCATCAGCATCATCATCATCATCACCACCACCAGTGGCGTCGTCGTTGGCATCATCAGCAGCATCATCATCACCAGCAGCAGCATATTCAGCATCACCATGAATCATCATCATGAATCAGCATCATCCTCATCAGCAGCATCCCTCCGACGACGTCCATCAACACCCACTGCCACGACGACGAGCACGGCAACGATCGCATCGGCGACCACCACGACAGGCACGGCGTCGATGACGACGCCCACGACGCAGTGCACGACCGCGGCGACGACGGCGACGACGACGGAGACGCCCCCGACGAGGCCGACGCCGCGCCGACGATGCCCACGAGGACGACGCCGACCACGGCGACCGACGTCAACGACCTACCTCCACGCCCAACCACAACCGGCGGCGGAGACGGCGGCGGCCGACGCGGCGAGCGCGGGACTGGCACCGACGACTCCGTCGACGACGGCCGCGACGACGACGACGAAGACGGCCGCGACGACGACGACGACGACGACGACGACGACGACGACGACGACGACGACGACGGCGGCGGCGACGACGACGACGGCGGCGACGACGACGACGACGACGGCGACGACGACGACGGCGGCCGCGATGGCGACGGCGACGGCGGCGGCCGTCGGCGCCTGCGGGCTGAGGCGCCATGCCGCCCTGGCAGGCGCCCAGGCAGCCTGGGCGGCCCGCGCGCACCGCCGGCCGGGCAGTGGGCCTCGTGGCCCTGGTGTCGGGGCGTTGACCTAAGGAACCCAAAAGAAGGAGCGAGGCCCCTTTTTTTTCCATAAGTGAAGCTTCGATCTCCGACCGAAGACATGGAAGGGGAATACCGGAGGCAAGCTGTGAAACACTTTCAAGTAACGCGGAGCCCATCCCCAACCGAAAGGGTTCCTTCTTCAGGGCCCCGACTGTAGGGGAGAGGAAGGGGAAAAACGGAGGGGGGATATCGAAGGAGAGCTGTTTGCTGAGAAATTGGGGGGGGAGAGGGGGGGGAGGAGGAGGAGGAGGAGGAGGAGGAGGAGGAGGAGGAGGAGGAGGA